GATTGTTATTGTCAGGTAGGAAGTCCATGTACTAACCTCTGTCGGTACACTGACCAGACCTACTCCGTCCCCACATTGTTATTGTCAGGTAGGAAGTCCATGTACTAACCTCTGTCGTACACTGACGAGACCTACTCCGTCCCCACATTGTTATTGTCAGGTAGGAAGTCCATGTACTAACCTCTGTCGTACACTGACGAGACCTACTCCGTCCCCCAGATTGTTATTGTCAGGTAGGAAGTCCATGTACTAACCTCTGTCGTACACTGACGAGACCTACTCCGTCCCCACATTGTTATTGTCAGGTAGGAAGTCCATGTACTAACCTCTGTCGTGTACACTGACGAGACCTACTCCGTCCCCAGATTGTTATTGTCAGGTAGGAAGTCCATGTACTAACCTCTGTCGTACACTGACCAAGGACCTACTCCGTCCCCTCACATTGTTATTGTCAGGTAGGAAGTCCATGTACTAACCTCTGTCGTACACTGACGAGACCTACTCCGTCCCCAGATTGTTATTGTCAGGTAGGAAGTCCATGTACTAACCTCTGTCGTACACTGACGAGACCTACTCCTCACATTGTTATTGTCAGGTAGGAAGTCCATGTACTAACCTCTGTCGTACACTGACGAGACCTACTCCGTCCCCAGATTGTTATTGTCAGGTAGGAAGTCCATGTACTAACCTCTGTCGTTACACTGACGAGACCTACTCCGTCCCCACATTGTTATTGTCAGGTAGGAAGTCCATGTACTAACCTCTGTCGTGTACACTGACGAGACCTACTCCGTCCCCAGATTGTTATTGTCAGGTAGGAAGTCCATGTACTAACCTCTGTCGTACACTGACGAGACCTACTCCGTCCCCACATTGTTATTGTCAGGTAGGAAGTCCATGTACTAACCTCTGTCGTACACTGACGAGACCTACTCCGTCCCCACATTGTTATTGTCAGGTAGGAAGTCCATGTACTAACCTCTGTCGTACACTGACGAGACCTACTCCGTCCCCACATTGTTATTGTCAGGTAGGGAAGTCCATGTACTAACCTCTGTCGTACACTGACCAGAGACCTACTCCGTCCCACATTGTTATTGTCAGGTAGGAAGTCCATGTACTAACCTCTGTCGTACACACTGACGAGACCTACTCCGTCCCCAGATTGTTATTGTCAGGTAGGAAGTCCATGTACTAACCTCTGTGGTACACTGACGAGACCTACTCCGTCCCCACATTGTTATTGTCAGGTAGGAAGTCCATGTACTAACCTCTGTCGTTACACTGACGAGACCTACTCCGTCCCAGATTGTTATTGTCAGGTAGGAAGTCCATGTACTAACCTCTGTCGTACACTGACGAGACCTACTCCGTCCCCACATTGTTATTGTCAGGTAGGAAGTCCATGTACTAACCTCTGTCGTGACACTGGCACGAGACCTACTCCGTCCCACATTGTTATTGTCAGGTAGGAAGTCCATGTACTAACCTCTGTCGTACACTGACCAAGACCTACTCCGTCCCCACATTGTTATTGTCAGGTAGGAAGTCCATGTACTAACCTCTGTCGTACACTGACCAAGGACCTACTCCGTCCCCACATTGTTATTGTCAGGTAGGAAGTCCATGTACTAACCTCTGTCGTACACACTGACGAGACCTACTCCGTCCCCACATTGTTATTGTCCGGGTAGGAAGTCCATGTACTAACCTCTGTCGTACACTGACAAGAAGACCTACTCCGTCCCCAGATTGTTATTGTCAGGTAGGAAGTCCATGTACTAACCTCTGTCGTACACTGACCGAGACCTACTCCGTCCCACATTGTTATTGTCAGGTAGGAAGTCCATGTACTAACCTCTGTCGTACACTGACGAGACCTACTCCGTCCCCAGATTGTTATTGTCAGGTAGGAAGTCCATGTACTAACCTCTGTCGTACACTGACGAGACCTACTCCGTCCCTAGATTGTTATTGTCAGGTAGGAAGTCCATGTACTAACCTCTGTCGTACACTGACGAGGACCTACTCCGTCTCACATTGTTATTGTCAGGTAGGAAGTCCATGTACTAACCTCTGTCGTACACTGACGGGACCTACTCCGTCCCCACATTGTTATTGTCAGGTAGGGAAGTCCATGTACTAACCTCTGTCGTACACTGACGAGACCTACTCCGTCCCCACATTGTTATTGTCAGGTAGGAAGTCCATGTACTAACCTCTGTCGTGACACTGACGAGACCTACTCCGTCCCCACATTGTTATTGTCAGGTAGGAAGTCCATGTACTAACCTCTGTCGTGTACACTGACGAGACCTACTCCGTCCCCACATTGTTATTGTCAGGTAGGGAAGTCCATGTACTAACCTCTGTCGTGACACTGACCAGAGACCTACTCCCCCACATTGTTATTGTCAGGTAGGAAGTCCATGTACTAACCTCTGTCGTACACTGACGAGACCTACTCCGTCCCCACATTGTTATTGTCAGGTAGGAAGTCCATGTACTAACCTCTGTCGTACACTGACGAGACCTACTCCGTCCCCAGATTGTTATTGTCAGGTAGGAAGTCCATGTACTAACCTCTGTCGTACACTGACGAGACCTACTCCGTCCCCAGATTGTTATTGTCAGGTAGGAAGTCCATGTACTAACCTCTGTCGTACACTGACGAGACCTACTCCGTCCCCACATTGTTATTGTCAGGTAGGAAGTCCATGTACTAACCTCTGTCGTACACTGACGCAGACCTACTCCGTCCCACATTGTTATTGTCAGGTAGGAAGTCCATGTACTAACCTCTGTCGTACACTGGCCGAGACCTACTCCGTCCCCACATTGTTATTGTCAGGTAGGAAGTCCATGTACTAACCTCTGTCGTACACTGACGACCTGACCTACTCCGTCCCCACATTGTTATTGTCAGGTAGGAAGTCCATGTACTAACCTCTGTCATTACACTGACGAGACCTACTCCGTCCCCACATTGTTATTGTCAGGTAGGAAGTCCATGTACTAACCTCTGTCGTACACTGACTGTGAGACCTACTCCGTCCCCAGATTGTTATTGTCAGGTAGGAAGTCCATGTACTAACCTCTGTCGTACACTGACGAGACCTACTCCGTCCCCAGATTGTTATTGTCAGGTAGGAAGTCCATGTACTAACCTCTGTCGTACACTGACGAGACCTACTCCGTCCCCACATTGTTATTGTCAGGTAGGAAGTCCATGTACTAACCTCTGTCGTACACTGACGAGACCTACTCCGTCCCCAGATTGTTATTGTCAGGTAGGAAGTCCATGTACTAACCTCTGTGTCGTACACTGACGAGACCTACTCCGTCCCCACATTGTTATTGTCAGGTAGGAAGTCCATGTACTAACCTCTGTCGTACACTGACGAGACCTACTCCGTCCCCAGATTGTTATTGTCAGGTAGGAAGTCCATGTACTAACCTCTGTCGTACACTGACAGACCTACTCCGTCCCCAGATTGTTATTGTCAGGTAGGAAGTCCATGTACTAACCTCTGTCGTACACTGACGAGACCTACTCCGTCCCCCAGATTGTTATTGTCAGGTGGGAAGTCCATGTACTAACCTCTGTCGGTACACTGTGGGGACCTACTCCGTCCCCACATTGTTATTGTCAGGTAGGAAGTCCATGTACTAACCTCTGTCGTGTACACTGACGAGACCTACTCCGTCCCCAGATTGTTATTGTCAGGTAGGAAGTCCATGTACTAACCTCTGTCGCGTACACTGACCGAGACCTACTCCGTCCCCAGATTGTTATTGTCAGGTAGGAAGTCCATGTACTAACCTCTGTCGTACACTGACGACCTACTCCGTCCCAGATTGTTATTGTCAGGGTAGGAAGTCCATGTACTAACCTCTGTCGTACACTGACGAGACCTACTCCGTCCCCACATTGTTATTGTCAGGTAGGAAGTCCATGTACTAACCTCTGTCGTACACTGACCAGACCTACTCCGTCCCCCAGATTGTTATTGTCAGGTAGGAAGTCCATGTACTAACCTCTGTCGTATACACTGACGACCTACTCCGTCCCCACATTGTTATTGTCAGGTAGGAAGTCCATGTACTAACCTCTGTCGTACACTGGACGGACCTACTCCGTCCCCACATTGTTATTGTCAGGTAGGAAGTCCATGTACTAACCTCTGTCGTACACTGGACGAGACCTACTCCGTCCCCAGATTGTTATTGTCAGGTAGGAAGTCCATGTACTAACCTCTGTCGCATACACTGGCCAGAGACCTACTCCGTCCCCAGATTGTTATTGTCAGGTAGGAAGTCCATGTACTAACCTCTGTCGTACACTGACGAGACCTACTCCGTCCCCAGATTGTTATTGTCAGGTAGGGAAGTCCATGTACTAACCTCTGTCGTACACTGACCAGAGACCTACTCCGTCCCCATTGTTATTGTCAGGTAGGAAGTCCATGTACTAACCTCTGTCGTACACTGACCAAGAGACCTACTCCTCCCCAGATTGTTATTGTCAGGTAGGAAGTCCATGTACTAACCTCTGTCGTGTACACTGACGAGACCTACTCCGTCCCCACATTGTTATTGTCAGGTGGGAAGTCCATGTACTAACCTCTGTCGTACACTGACGAGACCTACTCCGTCCCACATTGTTATTGTCAGGTAGGAAGTCCATGTACTAACCTCTGTCGTACACTGACGAGACCTACTCCGTCCCCAGATTGTTATTGCCAGGTAGGAAGTCCATGTACTAACCTCTGTCGTACACTGACGAGACCTACTCCGACTGACTCCCCAGATTGTTATTGCCAGGTAGGAAGTCCATGTACTAACCTCTGTCGTACACTGACGAGACCTACTCCGTTCCCACATTGTTCTTGTCTGGTAGGAAGTCGATGTACTAACCACGGTCGTATACCTTTATTGTCGTAATGAGAAATGTTCCATCTATATATCATTCACTTATGTTGATTTATTGCATTTAACAGCCCTCTGTGATAGCAGAATCTTGCGGGTCATCCTCTGGTCAACACAACACAAGATGTGTCTGTCCGTCCGTTCACCACTGTGATATCACAAAGAGACTGCTACAGAGAAACGATACAAGATGTGATTCCAACTACAATACAAGCACTGATGTGGACAACATAGTCATCTGTCATAAACTAGTATTTGATAGTATTGATTTGAACGGCAGCATAATTTATAGTTATGGATCATATCACACCTCATTTATCCCTGCCTGCATTAATGTCTATGTCATCATCATCATCATAATCATCATCATCATCATCATCATCATCATCATCATCATCATCAAATGTTGCTGGGTCAGCTAGCCTGGTCGATCGAGCTGTTTCTGTGTGTAAGGGTGGTGAGGTGGCTCAGTGGTGATGGTGTTGGCTTCTCTGGCTTAGGACCCAGGTTTACATCCTCACATGGTTCACCTTAGCTCATCTACCTCACTCATTACTTTCTAAAACTGCATGAGTCAAAGCCTTACATCGACGGTCTGCCTTACAGTAAAGATCTGCCTTACATCAAGGGTCTGCCTTACAGTGAAGATCTGCCTTATAGTGAAGGTCTACAGTGAAGATACACCTTACAGTGAAGATCAATCTTACCATGAAGATCTGTTTTACAGTGAAGATACACCTTGCAGTGAAGACCTTTCTCACCATTAAGATTTGTCTCACAGTGAAGATCAGCTTCACAGTAAAGATAAACCTTGGAGTGTAGATCTGCCTTACAACGAGATCACTTACTCAGCATGTTGATATCACTCACTCAGCAGGTTGATATCACTTATTAAGCATGTTAATATCGCCTAATCAGCATGTTGATATCACTCACTCAGCATGTTGATATCACCTACTCAGCATGTTGATATCACCTACTCAGCATGTTGATATCACTCACTCAGCAGGTTGATATCACTTAGTTATGTTGATATCACCTACTCTGCATGTTAATATCGCCTACTCAGCAGGTTGATATCACTTACTCAGCATGTTGATATCACCTACTCAGCATGTTGATATGATATACTCAGCATGTTGATATCACCTACTCTGCATGTTGATATCACCTACTCTGCATGTTGATTTCACCTCCTCAGCATGTTGATATCACTTTGCATGTTAATATCACCTCTGCATGTTGATATGATATACTCAGCATGTTGATATCACCTACTCTGTATGTTGATATGATATACTCAGCATGTTGATATCACTCACTCAGCATGTTGATATCACCTACTCTGCATGTTGATTTCACTCACTCAGCAGGTTGATATCACCTATTCTGCATATGATATACTTCAGCATGTTGATATGATATACTCAGCATGTTGATATCTCTCACTCAGCAGGTTTATATTACCTACTTATGTTAATATCACCTACTCAGCATGTTGATATCACTGCCTTCAAGCGAAATCGGCCTTATTTAATATAAGTTGTATGCATCTCTTGAGGGTAATACGGTCTGATGTACGCCTCTTTGTAGCAGTGTTACCCGACCCGGTAGGCGAATGATAACACTACTACAAAGAGGTGTACATCAGACCGTATTACCCGAGGGAGAAGTTTACAACATGTTTATCTTACCGTGATGTTAAATGTACGAAGTATTTTATTTTATTTTGATGATCGCTACCAACTATATGACATGTAAACAAAATGGCGTCTGTTTCTCAACTGGATTTTTTTAAATCAGTGAAACACATTCTGACAATTTTAATACTGCTGTAAAAATGGTTAATTATGTTTAAGTTGAGTGTGCAAACGATTCAATGCATCAAATAGTTTAAATAAAGCAGTGAAAGTCTGTAAAATAAATGTGTACATAGTGAACTCAAAAACAGCTAATCGAACGGTTTTCGAACTCTGTGCACTGCTTGCGTCATATTATGATGTCATACAATGACGTCATACAATTATTAGCGATACAGCTTCTCGACGGAGATTTTGGCGGTTACCGTGGTAGCGGGTAATATTTTTTCCAGTTGTCACCCTCCTGGGAGGGGTGACATGGAAACTTGTTAAAGCATCATTGACCAATGAAATTAAGTATTTTACATGAAGATAATCCCAAATATAACCTACATGGTCCTCATCCAGAGGTCTTACACATCTCTGATAGAGAACATATCATGCAACAACCGAGGTATTCAGGGAGGAGCTACATCTTGATTAATTTGTGTACATTATACATCTGACATATTTTGTATCTACATTATTGAACATACAACGATATCACTCACTGAGCAGGTTGATATCACTCACTCAGCAGGTTTATATCTCTCACTCAACAGGTTGATATCATGCACTCAGCATGTCATATAGATCTGTGATATTTGAAGTGAAATTGGTTTCACTTGCTAAACAATGAGCCAAAGTTGGACAACAGTTTATGTTGATAGTTTCACTTCACGCTCAGAACATTTGTAAATAGTAACCTGATAATTTACATCGCCATTTAGAAAGTGGTCAAATATAACTCATGTTACATTTGGGATTTCACTTTCTCAGAAAGGTACAGACTCTAGTACCCTTGTTGGGTTGAGCCCCATCCTGGATTCAAACCCATCCGCACACAAAGTCAGCGATCTGACCCAATCAACCACTGTGGCTTCCACATAACCAGCAATGTTGCATTATACCTGATGTTGAGCTTGCATGTACAGTTTGTTTACTGGTGTCATGTGTCCTCAGCTCAGTGTTGGGCTGTCTCCAGTGATCATGTACAGCTTGCACTGAATGAAGTCCTCAGCTCAGTGTTAGGCTGTCTCCAGTGATCATGTACAGCTTGCACTGAAGGAAGTCCTCAGCTCAGTGTTAGGCTGTCTCCTGTGATCATGTACAGCTTGCACTGAAGGAAGTCCTCAGCTCAGTGTTAGGCTGTCTCCAGTGATCATGTACAGCTTGCACTGAAGGAAGTCCTCAGCTCAGTGTTAGGCTGTCTCCAGTGATCATGTACAGCTTGCACTGAAGGAAGTCCTCAGCTCAGTGTTAGGCTGTCTCCAGTGATCATGTACAGCTTGCACTGAAGGAAGTCCTCAGTTCAGTGTTAGGCTGTCTCCAGTGATCATGTACAGCTTGCACTGAAGGAAGTCCTCAGCTCAGTGTTAGGCTGTCTCTAGTGATCATGTACAGCTTGCACTGAAGGAAGTCCTCAGTTCAGTGTTAGGCTGTCTCCAGTGATCATGTACAGCTTGCACTGAAGGAAGTCCTCAGCTCAGTGTTAGGCTGTCTCCAGTGATCATGTACAGCTTGCACTGAAGGAAGTCCTCAGCTCAGTGTTAGGCTGTCTCCAGTGATCATGTACAGCTTGCACTGAAGGAAGTCCTCAGTTCAGTGTTAGGCTGTCTCCAGTGATCATGTACAGCTTGCACTGAATGAAGTCCTCAGCTCAGTGTTAGGCTGTCTCTAGTGATCATGTACAGCTTGCACTGAAGGAAGTTCTCAGTTCAGTGTTAGGCTGTCTCCAGTGATCATGTACAGCTTGCACGGAAGGAAGTCCTCAGCTCAGTGTTAGGCTGTCTCTAGTGATCATGTACAGCTTGCACTGAATGAAGTCCTCAGTTCAGTGTTAGGCTGTCTCTAGTGATCATGTACAGCTTGCACTGAAGGAAGTCCTCAGTTCAGTGTTGGGCTGTCTCCAGTGATCATGTACAGCTTGCACTGAATGAAGTCCTCAGTTCAGTGTTAGGCTGTCTCTAGTGATCATGTACAGCTTGCACTGAAGGAAGTCCTCAGTTCAGTGTTAGGCTGTCTCCAGTGATCATGTACAGCTTGCACTGAATGAAGTCCTCAGTTCAGTGTTAGGACTTGGAGAGGGAATCATGTTAGGCTGTCTCCAGTGATCATGTACAGCTTGCACTGAATGAAGTCCTCAGCTCAGTGTTAGGACTTGAAAGAGGGAATCATGCTGGGCTGTCTCCAGTGATCATGTACAGCTTGCACTGAATGAAGTCCTCAGCTCAGTGTTGGGCTGTCTCCAGTGATCATGTACAGCTTGCACTGAATGAAGTCCTCAGCTCAGTGTTAGGACTTGGAGAGGGAATCATGTTGGGCTGTCTCCAGTGATCATGTACAGCTTGCACTGAAGGAAGTCCTCAGCTCAGTGTTAGGCTGTCTCCAGTGATCATGTACAGCTTGCACTGAATGAAGTCCTCAGCTCAGTGTTAGGACTTGGAGAGGGAATCATGCTGGGCTGTCTCCAGTGATCATGTACAGCTTGCACTGAATGAAGTCCTCAGCTCAGTGTTAGGCTGTCTCCAGTGATCATGTACAGCTTGCACTGAATGAAGTCCTCAGCTCAGTGTTAGGCTGTCTCCAGTGATCATGTACAGCTTGCACTGAATGAAGTCCTCAGCTCAGTGTTAGGACTTGGAGAGGGAATCATGTTGGGCTGTCTCCAGTGATCATGTACAGCTTGCACTGAATGAAGTCCTCAGCTCAGTGTTAGGCTGTCTCCAGTGATCATGTACAGCTTGCACTGAATGAAGTCCTCAGCTCAGTGTTAGGCTGTCTCCAGTGATCATGTACAGCTTGCACTGAATGAAGTCCTCAGCTCAGTGTTAGGACTTGAAAGAGGGAATCATGCTGGGCTGTCTCCAGTGATCATGTACAGCTTGCACTGAAGGAAGTCCTCAGCTCAGTGTTAGGCTGTCTCCAGTGATCATGTACAGCTTGCACTGAATGAAGTCCTCAGCTCAGTGTTAGGACTTGGAGAGGGAATCATGCTGGGCTGTCTCCAGTGATCATGTACAGCTTGCACTGAAGGAAGTCCTCAGTGTCAGTGTTAGGCTGTCTCCAGTGATCATGTACAGCTTGCACTGAATGAAGTCCTCAGCTCAGTGTTAGGCTGTCTCCAGTGATCATGTACAGCTTGCACTGAATGAAGTCCTCAGCTCAGTGTTAGGACTTGAAAGAGGGAATCATGCTGGGCTGTCTCCAGTGATCATGTACAGCTTGCACTGAAGGAAGTCCTCAGCTCAGTGTTAGGCTGTCTCCAGTGATCATGTACAGCTTGCACTGAATGAAGTCCTCAGCTCAGTGTTAGGACTTGGAGAGGGAATCATGCTGGGCTGTCTCCAGTGATCATGTACAGCTTGCACTGAAGGAAGTCCTCAGCTCAGTGTTAGGCTGTCTCCAGTGATCATGTACAGCTTGCACTGAAGGAAGTTTATGGCCACAGATATTTATCACATTGATTGACCCCAATGTAACCTGCAGCTGCAGTGTGTTGTGCTGCTACAGCTGCAGTGTTGTGCTGCTACAGCTGCAGTGTGTTGTGCTGCTGCAGCTGCAGTGTGTTGTGCTGCTACAGCTGCAGTGTGTTGTCCCGCTACAGCTGAAATGTTGTGCTGCTACAGCTGCAGTGTGTTGTGCTGCTACAGCTGAAATGTGCTGCTACAGCTGCAGTGTGTTGTGCTGCTACAGCTGCAGTGTGTTGTCATGCTACAGCTGCAGCGTGTTGTCCTTCTACACCTTAGGTGTGTTGTGCTGCTACATCTGCAGTGTGTTGTGCTGCTACAGCTGAAATGTTGTGCTGCTACAGCTGCAGTGTGTTGTGCTGCTACAGCTGCAGTGTTTTCCTGCTACAGCTGCAGTGTGTTGTGCTGCTACAGATGAAATATGCTGCTACAGCTGCAGTGTGTTGTGCTGCTACAGCTGCGGTGTGTTGTCCTGCTACACCTTAGGTGTGTTTTCCTGCTACAGCTGCAGTGTGTTGTGCTGCTACAGCTGCAGCGTGTTGTCCTGCTACACCTTAGGTGTGTTTTCCCGCTACAGCTGCAGTGTGTTGTGCTGCTACAGCTGAAATGTTGTGCTGCTACAGCTGCAGTGTGTTGTGCTGCTACAGCTGCAGTGTGTTGTCCCGCTACAGCTGAAATGTTGTGCTGCTACAGCTGCAGTGTGTTGTGCTGCTAATGCTGCAGTGTGTTTTCCCGCTACAGCTGCAGTGTGTTGTGCTGCTACAGCTGACGTTTGTTGTCTTGCTAATGCTGCAGGTCAAAATGGTTTGTTTTGAAACGTATTTCAGATATTCAGGTAAACACACCTGATAAACCTGTGATGTTCTTACAATAACGAACAGAGAATCTATCAATAAGTTTGTAAGTATCAAACATCGTGTCACTTCCTAACTTAGTACTCTTGCACTCAACATACGAAGCACACAATATGTGATATAATCCCTGCACAATACGTGATATCCTCCCTGCACAATACATGATATACTCCCTGCACAATACATGATATACTCCCTGCTTGTGCTGCTTCACTTCCATACTCGTACTGTTCAGATATTCTTATCCTGACTGTCGATGCACTAGATGGGTTTTATTGTAGAATATGTTCACCATCTATCATTATCACTGGTAAATAAATCAAATGAATTGTTGCAATAACCAAGTTTTGCATTATGTGTCCCATTGTCAAATGTTTGTGTAGGAGTGGAGTAGTATTGATACTGTAGTATTGATACTGTAGTATTGAAACTGTAGTAGTCACAGTCGCCATTCTATTGTAATGGTTGACAATTCTGCATAACCTATTTCAGTTTCCTAACATAACCTTGTATATTACTGGCTTAGTGAAATTATATGCAAACGAAGTATATTGTTGGTGCCAGATTTCCTATCCCTACAGGACAATCAGTGGTTGGAACACCAGCTGTTGCATTCTCTTACTGAATAACTGTTAAAACAAATATTTATCTCAGCTTCATATATGTTAGATAAATCAATATCAAGCAAATGTTTCACTTCATGAAAGGCTGTTTCCTGTGCCCGACGCACCACATGAAGCTAATGTGTGTGTGGACAGCATCGGGGAAGGAAGACTTCTCAGAATTCCATCTACACATTTTGGTGACCTTTAAAGAAAAAGAAAAGTGGAAAATAATCTGAACCATGCAAAAAGAATCTCTTTTTGTTCTACTGAATGTAAAGTGCTGTTCTCACCTCAAGGAACATTTGCTTGAATATACTGAAAGGAAACAAACCTTGCATGACGATGTACCTATCTTTGTAGTCTTTGTTTAAAGAAACAGTACATGTTAGGCAGCAGAGCCTGTTGTATATGTTTGTATTGCACAGCTGTGTACAGTTACCAGTATACCCATGAAACTGACCTTCAACTTACTTCAAGGTGAGTATCCAGTGTTGATGGTGTCAACATAACCACCAACGTTTTGAAATACTCAGATTTTGTGGAAGAAATTGTTTCATTTAGATGGACTTCGTTCTTGAATCAGTGGCAATACTCTGAGTGTCCGTGTGACTGGTTATATGTGTGACCTGTCTCCTGCCTGGCAACACAGTGGGCACAGTGATGTGTGTCTGTGTGACTGGTTGTATGTGTGACCTGTCTCCTGCCTGGCAACACAGTGTGCACAGTGATGTGTGTCCGTGTGACTGGTTATATGTGTGACCTGTCTCCTGCCTGGCAACACAGTGTGCACAGTGATGTGTGTCCGTGTGACTGGTTATATGTGTGACCTGTCTCCTGCCTGGCAACACAGTGTGCACAGTGATGTGTGTCCGCAGTGACTGGTTATATGTGTGACCTGTCTCCTGCCTGGCAACACAGTGTGCACAGTGATGTGTGTCCGTGTGACTGGTTATATGTGTGACCTGTCTCCTGCCTGGCAACACAGTGTGCACAGTGATGAGTGTCCGTGTGACTGGTTGTATGTGTGACCTGTCTCCTGCCTGGCAACACAGTGTGCACAGTGATGTGTCCTTCACCCCGAAGACCCGGGTTCCATTCCCCACATGGGTACAATGTGTGAAGCCCATTTCTGGTGTTCCCCACCATGATATTGCTGGAATATTGCTAAAAGCGGCGTAAAACTAAACTCTGTCTGTCAGTGATGTGTCAGATGCCGTCCGCGTCTGCTTCCTGGATCTGTGCAACCAGATTTGCTGAAATACAGTTGTTTTTTCTCTCAAAATGTTGTGTTTTGAATCCTGAATGGGCAGCTCATCTTAAGGAAGCAGGCAATCAGAGTGTTCAGGTGAAATGGGGTGTAATCAACAATTGTATTAAAAGATTAATTAAGTTCACGAATCAGTACAAAGGTACCACTATTATGACAGTACAGAAAAGAGAGGCAGTACACGTTGTAAGGTAATGTACTACAACAACAGTGGTTATGGCAATACAGACAGTGATGGTAATACAGACAGTGGTGGCAATACAGACAGTGGTGGTAATACAGACAGTGGTGGTAATACAGACAGTGGTGGTAATACAGACAGTGATGGCAATACAGACAGTGGTGGCAATACAGACAGTGGTGGTAATACAGACAGTGATGGTAATACAGACAGTGGTGGCAATACAGACAGTGATGGCAATACAGACAGTGGTGCTAATACACACTGGTGGCAATACAGACAGTGGTGGCAATACAGACAGTGGTGGTAATACAGACAGTGGTGGTAATACAGACAGTGATGGCAATACAGACAGTGGTGGCAATACAGACAGTGGTGGTAATACAGACAGTGATGGTAATACAGACAGTGGTGGCAATACAGACAGTGATGGCAATACAGACAGTGGTGCTAATACACACTGGTGGCAATACAGACAGTGGTGGCAATACAGACAGTGATGGTAATACAGACAGTGGTGGTAATACAGACAGTGGTGGTAATACAGACAGTGATGGCAATACAGACAGTGGTGCTAATACACACTGGTGGCAATACAGACTGGTGGCAATACAGACAGTGATGGTAATACAGACAGTGATGGCAATACAGACAGTTGTGGTAATACAGACAGTGGTGGTAATACAGACAGTGGTGGTAATACAGACAGTGATGGCAATACAGACAGTGGTGCTAATACACACTGGTGGCAATAAAGACTGGTGGCAATACAGACAGTGATGGTAATACAGACAGTGATGGCAATACAGACAGTTGTGGTAATACACACTGGTGGCAATACAGACAGTGGTGGCAATACAGACTGATGGTAATACAGACTGGTGGCAATACAGACAGTGGTGGCAATACAGACAGTGGTGGTAATACAGACAGTGATGGCAATACAGACAGTGATGGCAATACAGACAGTGGTGGTAATACAGACTGGTGGCAATACAGACAGCGGTGGCAATACAGACAGTGATGGTAATACAGACAGTGATGGCAATACAGACAGTGGTGGTAATACAGACTGGTGGCAATACAGACAGTGATGGTAATACAGACTGGTGGCAATACAGACAGCGGTGGCAATACAGACAGTGATGGTAATACAGACAGTGATGGCAATACAGACAGTGGTGGTAATACAGACAGTGGTGGCAATACAGACAGTGATGGTAATACACACTGGTGGCAATACAGACAGTGATGGCAATACAGACAGTGGTGGTAATACAGACTGGTGGCAATACAGACAGTGGTGGCAATACAGACAGTGATGGTAATACAGACAGTGATGGCAATACAGACAGTGGTGGTAATACAGACAGTGGTGGCAATACAGACAGTGATGGTAATACACACTGGTGGCAATACAGACAGTGATGGCAATACAGACAGTGGTGGTAATACAGACTGGTGGCAATACAGACAGTGGTGGCAATACAGACAGTGATGGTAATACAGACAGTGATGGCAATACAGACAGTGGTGGTAATACAGACAGTGGTGGCAATACAGACAGTGATGGTAATACACACTGGTGGCAATACAGACAGTGATGGCAATACAGACAGTGGTGGTAATACAGACTGGTGGCAATACAGACAGTGGTGGCAATACAGACAGTGATGGTAATACAGACAGTGATGGCAATACAGACAGTGGTGGTAATACAGACAGTGATGGCAATACAGACAGTGATGGTAATACAGACTGGTGGCAATACAGACAGTGGTGGCAATACAGACAGTGATGGTAATACAGACAGTGATGGCAATACAGACAGTGGTGGCAATACAGACAGTGATGGTAATACAGACAATGATGGCAATACAGACAGTGGTGGTAATACAGACAGTGGTGGCAATACAGACAGTGATGGTAATACAGACTGGTGGCAATACAGACAGTGATGGTAATACAGACAATGGTGGTAATACAGACTGGTGGCAATACAGACAGTGGTGGTAATACAGACAGTGATGGCAATACAGACAGTGGTGGTAATACAGACTGGTGGCAATACAGACTGGTGGTAATACAGACAGTGATGGTAATACAGACAGTGGTGGCAATACAGACAGTGGTGGCAATACAAACAGTGGTGGTAATACAGACAGTGGTGGCAATACAAACAGTGGTGGTAATACAGACAGTGGTGGTAATACAGACAGCGGTGGAAATACAGACTGGTGGCAATACAGACAGTGGTGGTAATACAGACAGTGATGGTAATACAGACAGTGATGCCAATACAGACAGTGGTGGCAATACAAACAGTGGTGGTAATACAGACAGTGGTGGCAATATAAACAGTGGTGGTAATACAGACAGTGGTGGTAATACAGACAGCGGTGGAAATACAGACTAGTGGCAATACAGACAGTGATGGTAATACAGACAGTGATGGTAATACAGACACTGATGGTAATACAGACACCGATGGCAATACAGACAGTGGTTATGGCAATACAGACAGTGATGGTAATACAGACAGTGATGGTAATACAGACAGTGATGCCAATACAGACAGTGGTGGTTATACAGACAGTGATGCCAATACAGACAGTGGTTATGGCAATACAGACAGTGATGGCAATACAGACAGTGGTGGTAATACAGACTGGTGGCGATACAGACAGTTGTGGTAAGACAGAGAGTGATGGTAATACAGACTGGTGGTAATACAGACAGTGATGGTTATACAGACAGTGGTGGCAATACAGACAGTGATGCCAATACAGACAGTGGTGGTGGTAATACAGACAGTGGTGGTAATACAGACAGTGATGGTAATACAGACTGGTGGTAATACAGACAGTGATGCCAATACAGACAGTGATGGTAATAGAGACAGTGATGCCAATACAGACAGTGATGGTAATACAGACGGTGGTAATACAGACAGTGATGGTAATACAGACAGTGGTGGCAATACAGACAGTGATGGTAATACAGACTGGTGGTAATACAGACAGTGATGCCAATACAGACAGTGATGGTAATAGAGACAGTGATGCCAATACAGACAGTGATGGTAATACAGACAGTGATGGTAATACAGACGGTGGTAATACAGACAGTGATGGTAATACAGACAGTGGTGGCAATACAGACAGTGATGGTAATACAGACAGTGATGCCAATACAGACAGTGATGCCAATACAGACAGTGATGGTTATACGGACAGTGATGGTAATACAGACAGTGATGCCAATACAGACAGTGGTGGTAATACAGACAGTGATGGTAATACAGACACTGATGGTAATACAGACAGTGATGCCAATACAGACAGTGGTGGTGGTAATACAGACAGTGGTGGTATTACAGACAGTGATGGTAATACAGACAGTGGTGGTAATACAGACAGTGGTGGTAATACAGACAGTGGTGGCAATACAGACAGTGGTGGCAATACAGACATCGTCATCGCCCCAGCTGACAAGGGTAAGGCCACCATTGTTCTAGACAATGACCATGGTAGACAACCTGCTAGATGACACCGCCACGTACAAGAAGATCATGAAGGATCCTATTGCCAAAGTGAATTGCCAGCACAAGTCCACCCTAAAAATCCTGCACGATAAATTTGAACTCTCTACAGATCTGTATCGTAAACTATCAGTATCCCATCCTCAGCCACCCTATGCCTGAGCAACAGTCAAGATCCATAAGAATCCTGTCAAAACGCATCTACTAGTCTGCTCCCGTGATACAGTGTTTTACAATACTGCCCAGCACCTTACCCAAGTACTCGCTCCTTTAGGTAAATCTGCCAACTCCTTCATCAACGACTCAACAGACTTCTGCAGCAAGATCCGCGACATCTCCAATCCAGGTCCCATCATCAAATGTACCTAGAGAAGAAGTGCTCCAAGCCTTACGCCACAGAATTGATAAACTTCAACAACCCCTCAACACCAGCCTCTCAACCGACTCCATCATCAGTCTCACCTCAGCCTGCATCAACTCCACTTACTTCACCTGGGGGGACGAGCTCTATGAACAAATTCATGGACTTCCCATGGGCTTCCCCTTATCACCCATCCTAACCGAAATTTACATGACGGACCTGGAAGATAAAGCACTAGATACTGCACACTTCAAACCTACGTCTTGGTATCACAAAGTGGATGATACCTTCGTCATCCTCCAACCTCGAGCTCAGCAAGATCCCATTCAGCTTCTGACCCATCTCAACAACCAACATCCCCGCATCAAGTTCACCATGGAAACCGAGCAGAACCAGCAACTACCTTTCCTTGACATCCTTGTGTCCCGTACCTCCTGCAACCAACTCCAGACCACTGTATATAGAAAACCTACCCATACGGATCAGTACATCCACTACAACTCCAATCATCCACCTAAAGTTAAGACCGGCATCATCTCCACATTAACCAGAAGGGCCAAGAACATCTGTTCAACTAAACTACAAGATGAAATAGAACACCTCAAGAAAGTCTTCGTAGAACTTAACCACTTTCCATCCCAAATACTCAACAGAACCATTGCTGCAACCCTGTCACCTCCTACCAAAAGACACAAACCAGATTCAGCCCCCATCAAGATATCCATCCCCTACATTGGCAAACCGTCACATCAAATCAACCATCTCCTAAAACAACAAGCTGGCATAGATACCACCGCGTCCTCCAGCCTTAACAACATTCTCCATGCCAATGGAAGAAAACTAGCCACCGTCAAGAACAACAACCCAAAATGTGTCATCTACAAAATAAACTGTGATTGTGGGCAGAGTTACATAGCCGAAACGTCCCGACC